CAATCTCTCCACATACCACGAATAAATCATACGCTATAACAGGGTATGTAGGATGTCAGGCATATAGAACACGTGTTTGCATAGCTCTGACACCGTACCTAAACTTCAATTTGACCTGCCTATCTCTCAACTACAGCGCCTCACACCTCTCACACCCACAATCAAATCCCCACGTCTTCTTCAGCCTCAACATCCTCTTCCCACGACTCAGCTTCCTCTCCTCCCCACTCAAATACGTGATGCACAGCTCCTGCCCGGCCTTGATATCCTTCCCAGCCGTAAAGAACCACGTCCTGCCCTCCCTCCTCTTCTCGATATTCGGCCCGCACGAGTGGTTGAAGTAGCTTGCAGCAGGCCAGCAACCGTATCCAAAGAACTCCGAGCCGTCGTCTTCGAGAGACCGAATACCGAAGGAATTGTGCGAGTCGCGGGATGAGAGGGTAATGAGGGATTCTGCCGTTACAAGGGGAAGAAGTGGAAGCGGAAGAATGGCGAGGAGGTGCAGGTAGGTTCTTGTAAAGGCGCCGAGGTCATCGGAGCTGTGGTAGGGGGTCTTGTCGTCTGCAAGGGCCTCCACCCGTTCCCATTGGTCGGGATGGAGATACCGCCAGACCAGGCCGCTGACGCAGAAGCTCATCACGTCGGGTGTGATGTTCTGCTGTAGTGCCTTTTGCACGGCCTTCTTGTGCTGCTTCGTGACAGCAACTCCGGCCGTCTGCTCGCTTTCCCGTGCAGCCCGTATCAGCGCCGCCTGTGCAGAGACATTCTCCCACGCCTGCTGGATTTCCTTGACCTTTGGGCGTGGTAAGTCGGTGTCCACCATATCGCTATCCTCTTTGCTCCGCTTCTTCACGAGAGTCTCAACCGCAGTCCATGCCTGAACTCCGACCTCGCCGTTCTCCTCCCGCCACTTCTCCTGGCATGCTTCCGAGCAGAAAGCAAACCCCACCGTCTTATCCCGTATGTCCAGATCCCGCCCGTAATCGTATCCAAAACATTGCCCACACACCTCGCGCCGGTATTCGCGCAGTAAGACGGAGAGGGAGAGGTCTTCCGAGCGCCACACTATTGCGCCCTCTGGTATATCCTGCGAAGCGAAGACAGCGCGGCCGGCGGTCGGTGTATGGCGGACTTGGAAGAGGGAAGATATTGGTGCGCCCGCTGGCAGATCGCTCGCTTTATCGTTCGGCGTATCGTTCGGATGTATCGAGGAGGCTGAAGAAGGGCGTGAGATGCTGAAGACCGAGTCACTGGCTACAGGGATAGACGAGTCGCTTTCGGTGGCGTCCATTGTAGCAGTGTCGATGGGATTAGCAGCACGGCAAGCGGCAGGTGAGTGAATCGTTGGATGAATTGACGCTCCTTTCGGGAGTCAAAAAGCAATACTATCGTCGAGTCCACAGCGTATACGGTGAAGAGACTACACCCCTCTTTGTCTATCAGAGGGTGGATGGCTAACGGTCGCGCGGGCTGTGGGTCAGTTGCGTATGTCACGTATACTCATGCCAGAATTGAAAGATCGGAGGAAAGCCATTGTGGGTAATTGGGTATGCGGGTGGATACGTTATCGTGACTGTTGATTGACAGAAGGCGAGAGATTTTGTGTCGGTCGTGCCTGGCCAGACCGATCTTTGGCCGGGCAGGGGTGATGGCGCTAGTGCACGATAAGCGAGTCCCTGCTTTTTGCTTCCAGAGTCTGAAGACCTCGGCAGGTCTGACACTACGAAGACGTGGTTTTTGTACTGTTTCCAAGGTTACATCGAGTCTTGTATGAATTCAGATATTTCTTATTCGAGCAGCTATGTAGCTACTTCCTTAACATTGTCTTTCCTCATCAAAGACTGAGATACGCGCTAATCAAACAATGGCCCAAACATAGCAAGGCTAATACGCCAGAAGTATACTCCGCAATCATCGATACTCCTCCCGCTCGCGACTACGAAGCGGGGCAAACCTCCTTGCACGCTTCGTCGGTCTGTCAAAACTTTCTCCTAACTGGGCAGCATCAGCTGTTCGTTTACGCGGCTGTTCCGCAAGAACCCAGGAATCGGGTGGAGAGGCATGGCATTTGTTGCAAGTCGGTGCTCTGGATTGGTGAGACGCGTTTAATCTCTTCTTGTCAATCCATCCCGCGCACGCGACAAAAACGATGCGCTGCTCGCCCTCCATCAGGCTCTTGACAGTGTTCTTCGACACTAATAAGTGGTCGATCATCGACTGGATGCGCTTACGGAATGTCATCCGTTTGGTCATGGCCGCTTTTATAAACGTCCGAGAGTCGCACATCAATGGTAGAGATTCTCGACCTTCATTGTGAAGACGTTCAGCAATTGCGACGAGCTCCTCGCATGCTGTCCACATATTGCGGAGATGGTAAGGTGGCCGATTTTTCTTGGTTGCATGGTGCCATCGCGTGCCGAAGAATTTGGCGGTATCAAACGTGAAGGGGATGCCCAGCATTGCTGCTCCCAACCTGAGGACCCAGGATCTGCGCTCGGCGTCGTTTTGAGGGATCGTCGGGTCGTTTCTGGGTGGATGCCAACCAATGTTTGAAGCGGCATAGTAAGCCCGGTCCTCGGGACTTCCGAATTGCTGAAGATATCCTTGTAGAGTGGGTGCCCTGACGTTGGAGTCAGAGCAATCGGGTGTCCATTCTGTAGACATGGTGGCGTCGTGGTGTGTTATAGAGTTGGTCTTGATGCTGGACAGATGCGATTACTGCACCTGCGGCGATCGGAGTGTAGGCAGGAGTGGGTGTATATGATCCCGCTGGGGAGAGCTGTTGGTCGAGCGGTGGAGTGGTGCGGGTTGTGGGAACCGTCAGGAGCGAAGGTAGCGGGCTTTTTATACCCCAAGGGAGAGAGGTTGTGAGCACGATGGCAGCTCACCGCAGTCGGAGCGAGGCCTTTCACACCTGTTCCCCATCTTGTGAATTGCCTGATGACTTCGCGGTTGTAATCGCCGCCTGCTTCGTATAGTTTGAAGTTTGAAGTGTATATCGTAGAGTGAAAGAGGAGCTTTTCGTTCGAACTTATTGAATTGAATATATACTAGAAGTAAAAAGACTGGAGTATAGCTTCGTAAACAGCGTAATGAAGCGTAAGAAGAAGGATTATATGCAGCGACGTTTAGTGTGCTTGCTGTTTGCGCAAATCCGAAGTGGCTTGCTTTGCTTTCTTTTGTCTCAACACTTGCAACCGGCATCACGGCCAAGCGCGTAGTTTGCCGTTAACAATGCATTGTTCGTCCCAGAAAACGTCCCCCATCTTAGTAATGAGTCGACATACCGAAATCCTTAGCAACCTCCCTGCCTACTGCCTTTAAATTCTCCACAATCCACAACTGCTTATTACTAAACACCATGACAGCCCCCGGCAAGAAAGCAAAGTTCGCCGTCGTAATACCGACCCAAATCTTGCCAATCAGCGTGCCTTCTGGGTTCCAGATATGAATGCCGTCTCCACATCCAGCCCAAACATTACCCTCGGTGTCGGTGTGCAGACCGTCTGGAATGCCGTTGTCGGAATAGGCAAATGTGCGGCGACCGGTTAATCTCTTTGCGTCATGTGTAATGTCGAATGCGTAGAGGGTGGCTGGCCGTGTGAGGTTTAGACTGTACCCCGCGGCACCCGTGTCGGAGACGTAGAGTGTTTTGTAGTCGGGGCTGAATTCAAGACCATTGGGTTCAACGAAGTCGTCTGCTACGACGGCGATTTGGCCGGTGGATGGACTGAAACGATAGACTTGCTTGGGGAGAGAAGGTTCAGGACGGAATCCTTGGACGTATGCGTAGTCTGGGTCGGTGAACCACAAATCGCCTGTTACGGGGTGCTGACGCACGTCGTTGGGTGATGTGAAGTTTCGTCCAAGGAAGTTCGATAGGATGAGTTCGGATTCGCCTGTTACGGGGTCGACGGAGACGAGGCCTGCTGGGTTGACGAGATCACCCTGGTCGCAGTATAGCACTCGTGAAGGTGTTGAGCCGTTAGTCTGCGTGCCGGGTGGATAGTAGGATGTTGCGCCGTTGGCCTCAGCGACACCTGGAATCCGTGTGGAGTTGATTGAGTAGTTGTCTGCGAGGTCGATGACGGTAACGTTGATGGGGTTGTTCAGGTCGCCGGCCCAGCTGCTCGTCACGTATAGCTTGTTTGTGTCTTTGTTGTAGACACCAGCCTCATGGAAAGCATCCCAATCCAGGCTTTCCAGTAGTCGTCCTGTTGCGTTCTCTCCGATCACAGACACAAAGCTTTCATCGTATGCGAGAAGGTTGATGATATCAGGATTTGAAGCATTGGTGGTGACGATGCTGTTCAGGTACGACGGATCCGTCGCATAGGATAGTAGGTCCACGGGGATGATGCTCGACATGATGTTCGTGATGATAGCGAAGATGGATACCTGCAAATCACCATCGCATGGCCTTCCATCTTCTATATACCTCTCCACTGATCGTCGCGCCGGACACCTCACGGTCCCATGTTTTTTTGCAACGTCACTCACCCGCCAAGTTGCCGATGCGATGCTCGTCCATAGTCGACGGAAATATGGTCGGTGAAATGCAGATCTTGGCTGTATGCTTGGCTCGGTAGCTTGACTCGAGGGGAGTGTCGTGTATATTGCCGCGGCGTTTGCTCCGGTGACTGCTGGTCGGCAACTTCCCCAGGTGTTGTATGCACGCCGCACACATGTTCACTCCACACGTTCGCAGCGTTAGGCCATTGCACTCGCTTGTCAAAGCTTATTGTTGAGGTCGCGCAAGCCATACACTATTGAAAGGCTGAGATCTTCTTGTTGAGGTTAGTCCCGAGCTTTTTGGCGATCGTCAGAACACGCGAACCATGACATCATCACGACCGCGATTGCACCTTCAAATGCCGAACTTCTACATCGCATTTCATTTCATGTAAAGTGGGTGTTGCTACCTAGGTGTAACCATGAACATCGACTCATCCCCACATTCCGACCAAATATCGTGCATTCCTGTGTCCTGCAAGCCGCATTCAAGATCGCCTTGCTCGCTTCGCCGATCTATGGTCTAGCAGTAGCTCCTCTTCTTCTTCTTCTTCCAACCGTACTTGCTCTTTCCACGCAGCCATCAGGAACGCTCTAACGTCTTCATCGGAATAGCACCAATCGTCTGGTCGAACGAATCCTTCCATATCGCATGCTATGGCTGAGCCGTTCACCAAGTGGTCGTACTCCTTAGGCCGCTCATCCTCATCCATCTTCGTCAACTCAATCGCAGTCGCCTCGCTTAGTCGGTCGTAAAGCTTTGATATCTTCTCGTAGTACGGTATCTCGATTCTGGCGTGAAACCTCGTAGTTGAGTACGTATGTCGCAGTACTGGATGGCGAAGCTTAGTGCAGACGTTCATCTCGTAGAAAAGAGTTTTATGGTCGTCCCAATCTGGCAGGTCAAGACGAAACGTGGAGGCCTCAAGAACGGCGTCTGGAACAGGAGATGGCGTAACACCCTCTGTGTTCAAAGGCATTACCCAGGTGTGTTGATCTCCCACGCGCCGAAGCCGGGTGAGCAGTTGGCAATCCGTCGGGCGAATCTCATCATGCGCGTTCCAATGTACGCTCTTGATCTTCATGCCACGTAGGCTGAAGAGTCTCAGTTCATATGGATCCATCTCTTTGATATTACGCAGCAGGAACATCTCCCGCCTGACGAACGTTGTATGAGGTAACAGATGGTATGCCTTGTTCCAGGTGATGAATGTTAGCATTCCTGTTGCATACGTGTCTTGCAAGATCATGTGTGCAAGAGACTGCGTCTGACATTTGGTAATCACGACTTTGAGCTTGCGCCCCCCGGGTCCATCCTTCTCATATACATCTTCTGACACGACCTCTCCGTCGCGATATCGAATGGGGGCTTCTGCGTTGGTTTCATCTCGCACGTAGTTTTCAGCCTCCAGGTATCGGGTCATAGCATCGACCTCTTGACCGACATATAGATAGATAGAGTCGAAACGAGGAAGCCCAGCGAAGAGGCAATAGGCGAAGGGGCCGCCAATAAGAGCGTTGCAACGAGCTTGTAATGAGCGGAAGGCTTTTGTGTTCCGGAAGAACGGCTGTAGTGTGACGTCGATGTTGAATGTCCCACTCAGGAGCTTCTCGTTGATATTCTTGTTGATGGTCTTGCTTGTCAACATCAGAGCGATTCTCTCCAACGGGCCCATGGAGGCCATTATAGCATCTTGGATGGGGGCAAATCGTGTGCTCAGCAGATCTGCGAGCGTAACGCTGGTGGAGCTGGTGGAGGCGCCCATGGTGCCTGAATCTGGAATACAGTGTGGTTGAGTCTCGGTGATATTCGGCTGAGGAGAAGAAGGGTGGGCTATTGTCTGACAAAAGTCGCAATAATTTATAACTGATTAGGTATTTGACATGAAGTGAAACGCAGCAGCACCAAGGGCACCAAGGCCAGTACTGCCTTCGACGCCATTGTGAAATCCGCGAAGATAACAACGCGCGCCTTTCACCATGATAAGATTGTTCCCGGATAGTTGAAGTTATGACGTGAGTTCCTCAGATCAGGTAAACAAGGGTACCCGCGCAACGCACCTTCCGTAATGAGCATAACCGTGAACCATTCGACCAAACGAAGAGGATAGTGCCTGAACGATAATGAACATGCTAGCGACATATGTCAAGTCCAATGCCTTCCATTCTACTCACAGTTCACTGCCCGTCCTTACGAAAATCTCTTCATCATGATATACCAGACGTTCCTATTACAGTCTCAAAGTTATATAATACAAAGGTAAACTAGACGCAAAGCAAAAGCTCAAAGAGAAAGAAGAAAGGCGCAAACGAGAAAGAAAACAAGAAACCAGAATCAGCTAAACCCACCACTTCTCCATCTCCGGGTCATCGAGAGCCGACGCAATGTCATTCAGCTCACGCAGTACCTTCACCCGCTCCTGCGCTTCACTCACCAAGATCTGATTACGCTCGATCTTAGTGCGATAAGAAAAGCTCAATGACTCATTCAGCGCCTCCTCCGCTCGCTTCAACTTGCGCAAATCTTCCACATGGATTTCCTTACTCTTCTCCATCAAATCTGCCATCTTGCTTGACTTGCTCGGGCCCTGAGCCGCTTCAGCCGCACGTCTCTTGGTCTGTAGATCGTCGCACAAGTTCTTCACCCGCAGTGTATCGATCTTGAGGTTTTCCAGCAGCGGAGAGTTCTTACGCATATACTCGTGGGCGTCTTCCATGATCTTTTCTGATGTATTCCAGATGGAAGTGTTACTGCGGCCGGCTGGGTAGTGCGAGAAGCCGCCGCCGTTGTAGATGTAGCCTTCGCCGAGCGAAGTCCATATAATCTCGCTGAGATGGGCTTGTGGACGCAGCCAAATCAGATAGATGACGCATTGTTCGAGGCGGTATACCTTGTTGAGTTGCTTGAGCCGATGATCTTCGCATGCGACGGCTTCCATCAGGTTCATGATGTAGTTGGAGCTCGAGTGTTTTGCATGCTGCTTCAGACGTGCGGGCGAGTCTTCTGCATAACCGTATTCGACGAGAGGATGTTCCAGTGGCTTGTCCCAGGCAACCTTCGGTATGGCAGCAAGCCGCGTTCGCAGGGCTTTCAGGAAGGTATGGATGTTGCGGACTCTATCACCGGATACCATCCACGAGTAGTGCTGGTTTTGGGCCTTGCCGGGAGCGAAGAGCTTGTTCTTCTTCTTGGGGTCGACTTGCTCCGTCCAAGTGTATGCTCGGTACTTAGGACAGGATGCCCGACGTGACTTTGCCTTGGTTTTGAACTTGTCGTCTACTTTGTCCGCGTACGCGTCGTTCGCAGGATCGAGATAGCGCTCGATAGAGATACACATGTCGTTCAGTTCGTTTGGCGTAGGTGAGTGTCCGTTGACGTCGACGAAAAGCTGCTGATATATGGATGGCTGCTTGTAGGACTGCTTCCAGAGAGCTTGAAGGTACCGCTCTAGACCGCTATTCGCTCGACGTTGGAGTGCGACGTTGCCGTGAATGATGGCCTCGAGAAGGGTACGGTCGGCAGACGCGAGTATGTTGCGGCCGTAATACGCCATCCAGCCTTGATCCCGAGGCGCGACACTCGAAGAGATAGCTGCCCATCGAACGTTGAGCTCATCTTTAAGAAGATCTTGACAGAGGGCATCGTATCCTTGCTCTCTCAGTAGCCGTAACCAGAGTTGTCGAGACTTCAAGCACGGGTCCGTCGCCTGTGCAGATGCCGATGAAGAGGAAGGTGCGGCAGGTGCGACAGCGCTCTTGCCGTTGAAACGCAGCGCAAGCGGAGTGCGTTCGTCTGCATCTTCATCACTTGAACCCGAGCCATCCTCGTCAACTTCGCTGTCGTTCTCGGGGACCATCGAGCGTTCGAATCGCGATTCGTCTTCGACCAGAGACAAGCCCGCGCGGCGGGCAGCGATCTGTTGGTATGGTGTAGCAGAGGGAACGAACGCGACGTGATCTCGAAATGCGTTGGTGTCGTTGGTGGGGCGCGCGATGTTAAGAAGAGTGAGGTCATTGGTGACTGAGTCCATACTTGGCTATGTCAGTGGTGTGCTGGTATGAGTTAGAGGGGGAATCGGTATCGCGCTATACGACCCAGGGTGGAAGGCAAGTAAAAGAGGCTAGAAGGGCGTGAAGAAGGGAGTATGGGAAGGTGTAACTATCCGCAAAAAATGAGGAGCGGAGTGTCGGGTAGGTTGTGGGTGAGGGGCAGGTAGAATATATGCTCCGTTATCGCGAAGCGGTGACGTCGCGGTACTATGAGCCGCCCGCAAACGGGCGACTTTCTCCTTCACCTCGTGTGAGCCCAAAGCAATGGATAAAACAACGCCTTAAGTGTGTAAATCAAATTGAAGATACACACCCATCCTACAGTACCACTCTGTAGCTAGAAGTATACATTTCTGGTTGCTAGACTTAACGCAAGGCTCAAGATGATGCCGGGTAGCTATGTAGTATCAACAACAACGCCTATGATGCTTTTCAACAGTGTGAGGATATACAGACGCCGCACGAGATACATAGAATTGATCTACTTCAAAAAATACAACATGGATTAAGCTACACTTACCAGATATAGCGACACCAGGAGTTGAGAATGATGTAAGACAATGTGCATATAAGGACGATAAATAAGATAACACAAGAGCTTTTAGGAAGCATTGAGACTAACAAAGATAAGGAAACATACATACAGGAAGACCAAAAACAGAAAAGAAGGCCGCATCAGCGTCGACGCCCACTTGCTCTGCTGCCATTTGCAGCTTTCTTACCAGTCTTTCGACTGTTGCCTGGCGGGTATTCAGGATTTTCACCAGTCAACGAAGGGATTTCGTCTTGAGCACCACGATAAACCCAGAATCCCTCATCCTGCTCGTCACAATCACCACGATCCGTACTGCAAAGCGGAAACAGCACCGCTCCCACATCCTTCATCTTTCGTACACACAGGGACTTGTTCTTTGCACAGTCGAGACAGGCGACATCGGCTCTTGCGATACGGTGCAAGACCATCTTCTTGTTCTTTAGTCGACATCGCATACATGTGTCGGTCGTCAGGATGTCAAAATTGTCCGGTATAATCGCTTCCACCATGCTCTTAATCTCCGCTGGCAGGTGCCCAGCAGACTTCAAATGACCGTCGACGTTGCATTGGCAGGCTTCTGCGGGTGGCGGCGAATGTGCGCTAGCCGGCGGTGATGAAGGTAAGCTGGCGGGCAGTAGATAAGAGGCGTTGACAGACAGGTTTGGTATCTCGAGAGGCATGGTCGAAGCAACATCGGAAGACTTGGGTGGTGCAACATATTGAAGGAAATTAGACGTTGGAATTTTGCCTGATCGAGCAGCTGATGCGGCCTCGTTGAAGAGCTCGAGGGCATCCGATATAAGCCTGGAATGATTGGACGAGCCTTGGCGGCGAACAACGTTGCGTGCAGAGTCCTCATCATAATCATCAGCCTTCCGCTTGATTCCTTGATGTAGAACCTCGCGAATGGCCTTGTCACGCTCTTGATCAGCATGGAGCGAAGCGAGTTCGGACGTGAGGCGCTCAATCTCCTTGTCTTTGCGAGCGGATTCATCTTTGTGCATGTTCAGCTCGGCCAAGAGTATTCGTACCATACTGTTGACCTGCTCAGTCATCTGGTTGTTGTTGGGAGCCATGGTAGTGAGTGGCGGGGAGGCAGAAGGGGCGATCGGGAAGGCAAGAGGTTTGTAAGTGTATACAGAGAAGAGTAAAGGGGAGAATCGGTATCGCGCTATACGACCCTAGTGCAGATTGTGAAGGAGCAAAGATGTTTAAAAAGAGTGCGATTCTTAAGCTGGGGGTGCGAAAGAAGCAACGAGAGAAGAGGAGGCCTGGGGACGAGGCGGAAGATATACTGCGGCACCGGCTCCTTCCTGCTCTGCTCTCACGGGACGACGCTGGAAGCTGAGAGCTCAATGGGCTCACATTGCGCCAATGGATGTGCGGAGTGTGGGGCGTGCTGCGAAGTGAGTGTTGAGCAGGAAGGAGCGAGGGGACTCACCAAACCTCGCAGCGGAAGTGACCCGAGAGCTGAAGAACACCACGGAGGTAGACAGAGACGTTTGTCTTGCAATGAGCGACTGCTGACAGCATGACACACCCTGGAGGTATCCACTACGTTCTGTCCTACCTGTGGCACATCAGTGGACACGATGTATACTTCTACTCATGAGTTGACGATTTGTACAGCTGCCAAAAGTTGCGCGTGCTCATCCAGACATCCTCGTCAAATGCCCATGAAAAGAATTAGTGGTATGCACCTCGATGCTGTTCTGTGTCTGGGACGATGATCTCATGAGCATGCACAGCTGCAAATGCCGATCGAAAGAGGCACTTGCACTTTGTCGTCCCCGGTGAGTTTGCAAGTCTTCACGGTGAAACCTAACACGGGTTAGCGGCATTTGGGTAGAACTTACAACGATAGCAGGCGCCGCGACTCAAATTCTCTTCTTCATCCACATGTCCCTGCTCACTCGGTATCTCAAGATATTCAGTAGTACTACGTGTGGTAAGCACTTGCCCACACTCCCTTCCTTCCGCCCTTCTAGCCTCTTTAGCCTTCCTTCCGCTTAGGGTCGTATAGCGCGATACCGATCTTCCTTTATTCTCTCAATTTCTCGCAATACCTACCTCTTTCACAATGGCACCGAACCTCATCACTGGCACCGTCAAGCCCACTGGAAAGCCGACCGCTGGTCAATCAACACTCGGACACCTCTTCGGCAGCAAAGGCAATTTCGAAAGCCAACTCCGCCGACAAGAGCAAGCGCTTGGTCGCGAAGAGGGCCGCCTCGCAGTTCTCCATTCAAGGCACGATGCCATCGACAGCATGAAGAGTCAACTCGCTGCGAACGAAGAGGTTGCAAGATCCCACAAGATGATCGAAGAATGGCTGCAAGAGCAGGCAAACGTGGTTTACCAGCTCGCAGCAATCTTCAACAAGCGCAGGAGTCTTGCAGCACCTGCGGATCTGCAGATCCAGTTTACTGAAATGCAGTTTGCTGCCCATACAAGTTTGCGACAACTCTTCACTGGTGAGCACGCCCTCGATGCCGCACCAATGAAGCACTTCAAAGAAGAAAAGGTGAAGCTGTTGCGCGAAGTGAAAGAAGTACGCAAAGAGAACGAGTAAGCATTACAGAATACCTCATGAAAACATCAGTTAATTGACGCTCATAGACAATTGGAAGCGGCAGCAAGAGCCCGAGAAGCAGAAGACAAAGCCATAAGAGAAGAATTGGCAAGCGCAAAAGCCGAAATAGCAAGCCTCAAAGACACCGCAAAAATGAGCATGTCGATCAAATCGGAATTCCGCGACGCGAACGAGAACCTCCAAGCACACGCCGCCAACCTCGAGCAAATGCGCAAAGAAGAAAACGAACGCGCAAACAAGACAGAAGCGATATTGGCATTGCGCGACCAAGAACTCGTCGCCATGAAAGAACGTGCCGAGACGGCTGAAGCCAAGCGAGAATCACTCCGAGAAAAGCTTGAGGACGCGAAGGAACAAACAATAGAGGCGATGCAAGGCAAGATTGTGGCGGATAAAAGAGTGAAGGAGTTGAAGAAGGAGCGCATCCAGGCGCAGGACAGGGAAAAGGCCTTGCTAGCTACGATAAGTCAGCAGGCAAAGGAGAGAGAGTTGGAGAGATTGGAGCAGGAGATGGGTTCGCAGGCGCAGCTGCAGGAGAACCTTAATACTTTCGAGGCAGTTTTCGAGGAGGGTGGATCGGCGGGTGATGCGGCGGCGGCGTTCTTGCGTGAGTCTAGTTAGTTTGGTTTCTGTTTCTAGCTTATATCATCCCGCTTTTCTGGCTGTTCTGGCTTGCTTTCGACATACACATCTCTGCTTCGCAAGCAACCCTGTGAATCGTCCACAAGTCGCCTTCCGCTAGGGTCTCTGGACATGTCGCTTGCCCCGCTGGTCAAGAACGACAGCGAACACATGGATTTGGTCGATATCTGCTCCCAAAGAAGCTATAAGGGCAAGCGACACCCCGGTATCATCCCTGAGCCTCGTGGGTAGGAAGCCAAAGGCTTCAAGCTTGCAGGATTCATGCAATTTGGCCGACCTAGCAGATTTTTCGCCGCACCGCACCGATTTGCTTCAGTCTGGGTGGTAGTGTGTGGTCTTTGAATACCGTCGATGATGTAACGGAACGTCAACCGCGCGGGTACCGGAATGGGGAATAAGGATGGCATCGGGGTTGTTGTTGAGATGCCAGGGAGGGCAGTGACAGGGTACGAGCTTCTGCGAATTTTAGTATCTGCCTCGATCTTAATTGTATGGTAGAGCCTTACTGACAGCGACGGTGACAAGGACGGAGGAGACCACGCCGATAATGTTATCTCAAATGCATTAATGATGTATATACTACCCCTCTCTCCCAATCCAACGTAACAACAGAAGACCCATATTCTTGCGAATGCGTATGTATAAATCTCCAATTCATCCCCATTCATCCCTAAGCCAGATTACCTCGAAATAGTTCATAAACAACCCAGGTATCTTCCCAACATATCTACAACCTATTACGCCAAATAAATCCCCCTCTGAGCACTTTACCGCCTCGGCGCGATGCCCGCGGAACTCAGCGCAGACAGAGGACCACCTCCGGTTACAGGCGTCTGTGCCCCAGTGACAGGCGTCGCAGGGGCAGGTGTAGGTGCGCGAGATGGGACGTTACTTCTGTTGTGTGCCATGTGCGCCTTGACGAGATGGCCCGCACACAGAGCGCTGTTGAGCGACAGCTCACCCGCCAACACACCAGCGGCGATGACACGGGCAAGTTGCCTGGCGTTGTCACCGGGTGATGTGGGGTGAGCGCCTCGTACGCCGAGGAGGTCGAGCATAGCGGATTGGGGCTCGAGGATGGTTCCGCCGCCGATGGTGCCGACTTCGATGGAGGGCATAGAGACGGAGATTTGGAGGTTGCCGTTGACACTAGACGTTGTTAGCTTAAAGTCTTGGTGAATTACGAATGATGACTTACTTGTGCATGATGGTGATGCAGTTGGCACTCTCGACAACCTGCGCGGGATCTTGTCCGGTAGCCAAGAAGATGGCAGCGACAATGTTCGCGGCGTGAGCGTTGAAACCACCCATAGCACCCGCCATGGCGGATCCGATGAAGTTCTTGGAGATGTTCATCTGCACGAGATCCTCAACCTCGCACTTCAGCACCGACTTGACGACAGATCCGGGGATCATGGCTTCGGCGACAACGCCCTTGCCACGACCGTCGATCCAGTTGATGGCGGCCGACTTCTTGTCTGTGCAGTAGTTACCCGACACAGTGACTACGCGCATGTCTTCGAAGCCGCAGTCGGTGGCCATGACGGTGAGGGCGTGCTCGACACCCTTGGAGATCATGTTCATGCCCATGGCGTCACCGGTGGTAGCCCTGAAACGGACGTAGATGTTGGTACCGGCAATGGCAGACTTCATAGACTGGAGCCTGGCGAAGCGAGAGGTAGAGTTGAATGCGTCCTTCATCGTTCTTTGACCTTCCTCCGAGTCGAGCCAGATCTTCGCCGCACCAGCGCGTGTCAGGCTGTCGAATCCGATACAAGGTCCGCGGGTCATGCCGTCGCCAGTAACAACAGTAACAGCACCACCGCCAGCGTTGATAGCCTTGGCACCTCGAGAGGTGGAAGCTACGAGCACACCCTCAGTGGTCGCCATGGGAAGGAAGTAGTTTTGGCCGTCAACGAGGATAGGTCCAGCGACACCGAGAGGGAGGGGCAGGTAACCAACGACGTTCTCACAGCATGCGCCGTGAACAAGATCGTAGTTGTAGTCCTTGTACGGGAGGAGGGAGCGTTCGAGGAGAGTTGAGGTCTCGCGTGTAGCGTGGGTGCGTGAGACGAGACCACGTCGGATCTTGACAGCGCGGGTTTTGTCGCCGAGTGTCTTCTCCAAAGCGTAACCGGGGATCTTGCCCTTGAGCGACATTTCGATAAGCTCTTCGTCAGTCATCTTGGGGGCTTGCTTTTCCTTGATCATCATTTCAAGGACCTCAGCAGCACGGTTCGGTTGTCTTTGCTGTTCTTCGGAAGGACCGATAGGGAGTACAGGTGTTTGCGGTACGAGCTGAGTAAGGGGCTGCAAGCGAGTGTCCTCAGGACCGGGTGTGCGTGGCGGCGTAGGCATGTGCATTGAAGGTACGCGGGGGGTTCCAGGCACGGTCGGTGCTCCATCTTGGACTTCTGAAGGAGATGCGGGGGCCAGTGGCTGGTGGGGTTCCTTGATGGTCCAGCGAGCGGCGTTGAAGAGGTAGCCGTTCAGAACGACGCTCATGACAAGCGCGAGGACGATCCATTTGCTGAGGAAGGGGTCTTCCAAGCTCTTCAGTACTCCGTCGACGATGTGCGTGCTGATGTTGTTGCCAAATGCGAACTCGTTGTCGGTAATGGACGGCTCAGCGTAGTGGATAGACGGGAACTCAAGTTCGTACTTGATGGGCATGAGAATAGTGACAATGGTAGAAGTAGCAGTGGCCTTGGCCTGCTCGTAAATGTGATCCAGTCCACTTCCAGCGACCTTGAAGGGATCCAGCGGGGGAGTGGCACCTACGCCAGCAACGTGAGCGACCTTGCTGGGAGCAAGACCGAAGCGGAGGGTGACCACGTTGAGAACGTTGACAAGGATGAATCCGGCGACCATCAGAATCTTGAACTTGGGCACTGTAATCTTCTTTCCAAATACAGTTGTTGTGTGGTTGGCGACTTGGACATCGCGCGCGTTGGGCCAGTCGTTGTTGCGGGCGACGTTCTCGGCGACCTTGCCATCGACACCGTCGTCTTCGAGAGCCCTGCGGAGAGCCACATGGCGCTTGATGCGGTTGATCTCAAGCTTGATGGTGAGAATTGCGGTGTAGAAAGTCAGGAGCATAAGGGCGTCGAAGAAGAGGATCCAGGCGCCGAGGAAGCAGAACTGTCGCAGACCACCCTGGATCCCAGACATGGCACCGGCGACTAGGATCAGAATCTCGAAGAAGTAGTCGCGGACAATCTCGAACCCGGTCCTCTTGATGGCGAGCTGTACAGCTGACTGGATAGTCGAGGGCGCGCCCCGCTTCTCTTCAGCGGCCCGTCGGCCATCCAGAGACGCAGAGAGCACGGCCTTGGTGAGGACAATGGGCTTCTCGAAACCGATAATGACGACGAGGAATGGGAGTCCTTCGGAGAGCAGGATGAGGTTGATCGGGACGCCGAGATAGGTCGTGACAGCCAAACCAAAGAGGAAAGCAAAGGCGGATTGCAGGAGAACTGCGGTGGCCAGCCAGAAGTTGGATCCCAGGCGCCTCATGGCGAGGAAGAGAGAGACAAAGGTCAGGTGCATGGCGAGGTATCCGAGGGCCATGATGACGATGTCACCGGTATCCGCGTTCTATCAAAATTAGCCAAATCCACGCCAATCGCCAAACAACATACCTTGAGAAGATCCACGAAAGACGTCCATGAGTCCAGAATCCAGTTACGCACACCGCCAGGGGCGCTGCCGTTCTTGGACGCCTTCATCATCCACTTCTTCTCCTCGCGTGTGCCTTCCTGCTCCGAGCCCTTCGACTGAGCCGCATCTTCGGGCGCAGAAATCTCCTGCATTGCCTGGAGAAAGTCGGCGGCCTCGGTATATGGGATGGAGAAAGCGAGCGAGGTGTCGTGGGAGAAGGTTGAGAAGGAGCTGGACGAGCTGGGGAGGAGCTCGGCAGAGACATTGCTGGGGACGGATTGCTGCGAGGGCGCCGAGTTGATGATGCTCGATTCGGGGAAGACGAGGGTGACGAGAGCGAGTTCCTGGGCGGTCTGTGATGTTAGCTAAATCCTTCAAACCCTACGATATGCTTACCTTATCCTTGTAGATGGCAGTCTTGGGTTCTTCAGCCTCCCACTGCCATGACGTCTCCTCTCCGATTCTGAGTCTCTTGCTGCCGGCGAGAAGAGTTGTGAAGTCGACGCGGCTCGAGGCTGCTTCCTCAATGCCACTCTCGAGCAGGCCCTTGTCGAGAACGCCCAGGTATGAGTAGCTGGCCACAAAGGCAATGGTGACAATGGTGTGGATTGGATGCGTGCATGCCTTCTTCGCGACGGAGAGCAGGATGGGGTTGAAGTGGCGGTCGAACCAGGCGGGGCCCGTCTTCTTCTGCTCGCCCTGCCAGCGGCTGGTGAGGTATCCGAGCATGGTGAGGATGTGATGTTTCCACTGAAGTTGATTCAGTGGTGTTGTAGGCCTAGAGAGGCGCTCGCATGGGATGACGCGTAGGGTGGCTGTGCGCAGAGGTAGTGGGATTGGATGCGAGTCTCGCGTGTGACTATACGAAAAGACCTTTTGCTGTCAGTACAATCACGCCGGATATTCGTTCTTGCGGCGTACCTCGTGCACCTCCGTGGTCGGCGTGCTATTAAGAGTCCGTCAAGTCTCCAATTCTGCAATTAGGCCCTGCGATACCGAAACCCGCAATTGGCGTCGCAACACACCGTCAGACGCGCAATTTCAAAAAGTAAAGAGAGAAGGAGGGGGAGTAGAGGCGTGCTCACGACACTCGGTGCCGACCAGACTGAAATGTGGAGGAGGCCCCTTGCCGTCCCGCGACTTTTTTGTCCGCGCTAGACCCGACTGCCTCTCACCGCTTTGGCTCCCCGTCCGGCACGCGACTGTAATTCGACGATAGACGACAGATAGCAAAGGGTCCTGCAGGAATATGCGCCTAGCAATGTTCGAGTTCTAGTTCGCGTGTCCAGCTCAGCGTACTTGGGTCAAAGGAGAGTAGTTCGTTGTTGTTGTTGCTGTTCGACGGTCGCTCTTTCCACGAAGAAGTTGCGCCACGCAGAGGTTGCGCCACACGCCACGTACGCCACTGGATGACGCGCCAATCAATCCCAACAACCGGATGATCTTCAGGGGATCAGCCAAACAAGGCTGCGATATGAATATTTGTTGATGGTATCGATAACGGATTGTGCATTTCTACAAACGTCTATCAGTCTAATAAACATTCCGTTTCTATGTTTCCATGACGCGCGAGTGTGTTTCTTGACAATCGCTGCCAACCTCCTTGAAATACCCCGTGGCTTCCAAATATCCCGCCGCCGTGTGGAATGCCCCGCGACCCTAAATCCCCCGTCACCAACTACAAGCTGGAACAGACGCGGTGGTAGTAGCCCGTCACTCAAACTTCTCAGTCATCGGAACGTCGCCGTTGGTAATCTCTCTCAAAAACGCTGCATCCGGCCTGTACAGCATGACATGAAAGTGCTCGACTGCATGCACGCTCTTCAGACTCTTCCAATTCTTGAACCACACCAGCTCTTTGACTTTTGTCGCAAACGTCTTTTGCACATACTCATCAATCTGTTTATGTGACTCTGCCGTGGAAAGTCCCGTGTCCGGGTCGTCGTCGAGTTCAAACTTGGTCCACACAACGAGATGGACAATGTCGGCATCAATACCATACGGCCAGTCGTTATACAGGATCTTGATATCCTCTGCGCGGGTAAATATAGATGTCAAGCCGGGTAAGGTATCGAACGCACCATCAAATTGGAACGGCTTTCCCCTCGGCTCCATGCTCCCCCACTTCAGCCGCTCATTCACAATGAAGTTCATGATACTGCCATAGTCCCTCTCCAGCCGATGCGTAAACTGCCGGTACCGTCTTAATTCACTTGGCAAGCGATGAAACTTGTCCACCCGGTTGCTGTCTACCCACAGCCATCAGCGTTTCGCCTATCGCGTGTCACGTCTTCATCAATCTCACCCACAATAGCCCGCACCTCGTCCCACCTCAACACCCTGTACTCCTCGTCAGGCGTCCCGATGATGCCCTTGTCTTTGTCACTAATATCCCTCAGGAAGTCGGGACACTCGCTCGGCCACTGGTCTCGAGGCACGTTGACGAGCCAGAACGGCAGCTCCTCGTGTGGCATCCTTGTGCAGCAGCTAATTCCGGAAAATAGGAAAGTAAACAATTGCGTCGTCGTACAAGATTGGGATGACAAGGTTTGGGATTGCGCAGCAGGGATGATGAGCTGCCAGTCTAGGGAACCCTAGCGGTGAGCCCTAGGCATGTTGAACGATAGAAACAGCGGGTGGGACCGCGCTGAGGCTGTAAGGCCGTTGTCGCCATGACAAGCCATGTCAAGCCATGTTTTGCGTAGAACGCCTTGTTTCAAGCATTCATCAAGCTTCCATCTAGCATCCGTCGGGGAAAGTAGGGCGAGTTCTTGCAACTTCAACGACGATTCCTCGACGACTTTAGTAAGGAGAAGTGCGACGAAGCTGAAGTTGAACACACCGCCAGAATACCTAGGTATGTACAGCGTAGAACACATCTGCATCTCAGCCTCAGCCGCTGCACGCAATCAAACAGCCTCATGGCCTTGCCAATCAAACCAGCATCCCTCGTCTCAAATCCCAACTCTCCAATTTCCCGCGCCTTACCGCCATCGGCGCCATGTGTCCAGCGTGATGGCCTACAGGGATGCCACCCGCGCTGCGCCTCATGATTGGCCATGCCCATCCCGCAAGCCCGAACCTCGAAACCAACGAAAACCACACGACAATATCGCAGTCCTGCTTTGACACCTGGACATGAGAGTCTAGGCAAGCAGTGTTACATCACATGGGTGCAAGGCCCCATGGTCTGTTGTTTTAGGGGCCTGTGTAGACAGGCAGGTGTTAAGTATGGCGGTTTCCTCATTTTTGCCTTAGCAACTACTTTCCTTTCACGTCACGACTGCGCCTTGAAGTGCTGCACCTACGAGTACTGCAAACGATCGCCTTGATCTACTTCTGATCTCCAACCACCGTCGCTCCTTTCCGTTCGTTTGCTACGTCACCCAAACCATCGTCGATCAACTACCCGAGTTAAGATTTACGTCGTGTCATTCACTACACACGCGGCGGGTTCCTGGCTCTGCTGGACCCTTTCCAATCTGAATACCCACCACAATCTCGCGTGTTGCTGTGCGACATCGTGCATCTGTCGTTCGGCGTCGTAACGCTCGTGCTAGTGGCAGTTCGACAGAAGTTAATAGTCGACTATCGCCTTTTACATCAACATCGATTGTTTTCATCAACCTTTACCATCGGCGCTATCACTCTTACTACGAATACATATACCTCGACGACGAAGTCACTACTACCACAACCACTACTTCCATCGCCACCTCACACGTACATGCTCAGCATACCACAATAACTCGCCATCTCCTACGTACCCTCGCTATCTAGTCTACCCACACACATACCAAAATGGTCCGCGACCCCCAATTCTGGAAACGCTTCAGCGTAGCCGTCCACCAAGACGACCTAGAAAAAACCACGCAAACCCAGGGCCTCAAGCAATCGTACGTCAGCAGTTCACTATCCCCTCCCCTCGGATCCCCCACTTCCCAAACACACCTACCCATCACATCCCCGCCCATGGTCCAACTGCAATCCACACGGTCGTCCTACGCCGCATCAAATCCGTTGTCACCACTATCAGCGGAGATCTTCTCGGGCGGAATACATACGCAAACAGCGGAGAAGGAGACGGAGACAAATAAAGACAAAAAGAAAGAGAGACCCCGCTCCAAACTACAAAAAACGCCGTCCACGAAACCCCTACTCCGCCCCTCCATCTCCGTCCAAGAGCTCCCCTCCACCACCACGCAAAACGCCTACCAACCGCCCTTCTCCCCCCTCCCCTCATCCCCCACACACCCACATCCATCTTCATCCTCGCGTCCCCACTCCTTCTTCCGCACCCCCAACCTGTCCACCCTCTCCCTCAGCCACCTCTCCGGACGCCCTTCATCGCGCTTCCACTTCACCACGACCATCACGGCTGACGCGTCACATAGAGATAGTTGGTTGGCCGGTCAGCAGAGAAAGGCCAAGCAAAGGACGTGGATTTGCTGGTGTTTCTGGATATGTTTCCTGCTGCTTGTTGCGGGTGTGGTTGTTACGATTATTATTTTGAAACAGCACAAGATTATCTGAGAATGAAGGGGGATGGAAGGAATGAAGGGATGAAGGAATAGGTGTATATATGAGGGTGTTTTGGGATAGACGGGGTGTATGGGGCGTTTAATGTCTTTTTTATGGGACTTGGATTTGGGTGGTGTTTTTGAGCACTTGGATGCTCGTAACTGCTATCCGCGGTTTCTTTCTTTTCGATGTTTATATTCCAGATGATACCAGGCCTTACATGGCCACCAATGCGATATCTGCTTCTTTTCAGGAAAATCCATCTCATCATATTGCGCTTACGTGACTTGATTTGCAAGAAACACCTGAACACAAAACGACTGAAGTGCGCTGCTTTGATGGTCGGTTCCATTGAGATTACGCACGACTCACGAAGTTCATCCAGGCATGCGGACAGATTGATGTGAACCGACAGAGTGCTTTTGTGTATCTAGTCCAGCGCATAATCACTTTAGCATGGTTCTCAGCCTAATGTACAATGTCAATCTGCAACGCCATGCCCGCAACGGATATCTCAGTCCCAAAAGCGCGAGCATGCACAACGCCAAAACTCCATTCACACTCATTCCACCTCAACCCTGCCCCATCCTTATCCTCCCGGCCACCAAATCTTCCTAAAACCGGCTCTTCGTCGCAGGCGGCGTAGGACTCCTGCTCATACTCCTGGCATCCCGGCCTCTCTCCTTCAACCACTTGCGCGTGCACATGTCCAACTCGCGATCCAACTCGGCACTCGGTTCCTTGCGATGGATGAAGTTGCAGAAGCCGCCGCGGACACAACCCTCGCCGCTGTTGAGACGACAGCAGGCCTCGCGGAAATCGGTGACGGGCGACAGTTCGCAGTAGATGGGGCGACCGGCGTACCAGCGCGAGTTGAGCGCGTCGCAGGCTTTTTGCGCGTCTTCTTCGTACTTGAAGCGGACGTAGACGTTGCCGATGAGGTCTGTAGGTTGCGTTAGCAGGCTTCTTTAACTCCAATGAAAAGAAGGGGACGTACGATCATTATTGTTGTCACAAACTACCAGTTCCTCCACGAGTCCATACTGGCACAGCTCGCACCAGATATCCTCGTAAAACGCATCAAAGTGCATCTGCATCTGCTGCGGGTTCATCTTGTTCTTGGGGTCGTACGCGGGGTTCTGGTAGAGGTTCGGCAGCAGAATCGTCTGCGAGTACGAGGGCTTGACGTGTTTGCGCGAGCAGCGGTCGCCGTGGCGGCACGCGCCGATCTTGTAGTAGAAGGAGCAGTTAACTTTGTCTTGCTCCGTTCCGAAGATGGAGGCGAGGTAGTTGGCCATGGTGAATGTCGTGCGGGGTGTTGGATGAGGTGTATCGTGGTCGCGACGGCTTTCGGGAGGTGGACGGCGATGGCGTGGTGCGTGAGGTCGTCGCGCGCGCGGTGTTGGGAAAATGTCGCGATGCGCGGAGCTCGAAGCTAGGCTGAATGTCGCGGACGCTAGTGGCTGACAAAGCGGAGAGCGCCAAGGAAGCGTCGAGAAACGCCACCTTCACTTGAATCCCGAAGGTTCGACTTGAACGACGAATTTACGCTGTGTCATGTTTGCCAGCTTATGCGTATAGTCATAGAGTAATTATTATTTATCGTAATAGCCTGGTTGTTTATAGCGTGTCAGCCGGCGCAGCTGTGGCCGCTGAAGACGCACCTGCTGTTCCGAGTACTATCGTGGACAATCCGACCAATCCGACTCAACGAGGAAGGGGCGACCAGTTCGCTTTTCTCTCGATCCAACTATCCTCGAGATCTATCCCTACAGCTCAGCTTGCTCCTTTTGTAATATCAAAGAGCGAATGCCAGATACTTCGTCTATTAACCATGTGGCTTCTCATCCGGCTCGTGTCCCTCTACCATCTCTCGCAGCTACCCAGACTGAAGGCTTGGCCATATGCAGGACGCTCGAATGATTTTCGAGCCTAATGAGGCAATGTGGGTCGGCGTGACGTTTGACGAAGACCCCTAGGTATGCGACAAAATCGACGAAGACTACCAATATTCCGCGAGCCTGAGGGGTGCATCGTTCGGGAGAAGTGCCATCGCGATTCCGGGTGGCTCAGTCGTTCCAGGGCGTTTCGTAGAGCTGACGAGATACCGCCCACCAGGCAATCTCATCGCTATTCACCCAGAGGTCAGACCAGTCGGCGCGAGGGATGGACAACGCGGATACGTCACTCGGGTTCTCGAGGTCGCTTCTATCAGCCCTCCCATGTAGACCACGCCGCGTCCACCAACCCAAAGCCCCTTTGATACCATCAGTAGCCGATTCGAACAGCATCCTGTTTAATAGTCGGACCGGACGCTGGAGTGCAACATCAAGCAAGATGAACCAGCTCGACCGCGGTGTAAAGAAAACTCCTCCCAAGAACCCGTCTGGGATAGGAAAAGTATCGCCATTAGGACCGGGATTCGCGAAGCGCTTGACGGGGTAAAGAAGGCAGACCATGCCCACCCACGTAAAAGCCATGATGTCGAATACATCGAGCGGAGCTCTACAGAGAAGTTCTAGATGTGTCAACCCATCCCTCGGCGGTCTGTAATACTGGCACGGTCTCTTGTAGCGGCAACACTCTCGTGATACGAGGAAAGAAAGGTCGAAATTGGCTCGGGGGATAGATTGGAGAAGTGTGATGAGATTGATAGGCCACTCTTGGAGGCGCGAATGCCAGTATGCGCGCATAAATTCACATTCCGAGAGCACCCAGAAGGCCATTGCGAAGTGGAGCGTGCATTCTTGAACAACTGCGCTGAGGTCTTTTGGGAGTGCGGGAGGGACGCCGAGGTATGTTCGTGTCCAGATTGCGATCTGACCGAGGTGGACAAGCGTCATCGTAAGTAGTATCGTGTATGATGTAGGAGGATTCGGGTCTACCTGTCTTGGAAGAAGATGACCATTGGCATCGATAGAGTGCTCCTTGATAGAGTAGAATCTTAGGACGAAGACTAAGAGAAACGCCATCCAGAGTAGATGTGCGGGAATTGTGAACCAGAGAAATCCTGCGGTGATGGTTTCTTCACGTAGAGGTCGCATCTGGAAGTAGGCTACCGAATGTAGGGAAAACAAGCAGTAATACGCGAAACGAGTCTTTGACGGTATCTCGTAACGCGGAATCACGTCAAGCGTATGACGAGTGGTTACAAAGTACGGCATTGTAACGCTCGCAACTGGCGATGATGCAGGGAAGGACAGAATGCGCTTGTGCTGTAGAGGTGCGGTCACTGAGACCGAGTTCGGGAGATATACATCGTTGATCGAAAACAGGAGTGTTGTGAGGTTGTGCAAGGTCTCTCAGTGTCTGCAGCATACATTGGTAATGTGCGCGCGATTTGCGATGCGGTACCATGGGTTGCCAGCGACACTGCATTGGCGTGCCACACACACCTCTCACCCCATCCAAGGAAACTAAACAGCCTGGAGTCTACATCGGTATCAAAAGTCACAGTTTGTAAATCTTTGATGCGATGTAGACCTCTGGGTCACTATTGCTTTTCTTGCTATATTTGGGCGTTGTATCCTTTCCGACATGCGGATTTAATGTTCGGTCATGATCGAAACCGCATCCTCGTACTCCTCTGGCCCGGAATTCTCTCCCTCTTCTACCACTACCTCCTCCTTCGTCTCAACATCATTATACGGACAAATCCCTCGCCTCTCACGCCACGCCCTTTCTACGTCTTCCAGTCTCTCCGCGCATGTGTCGCACGGCTTCAGATGTAGCTCGACGCCTACGATTGCTGGACGATGATGGCGAGCTGATCCTGGGCAAGTAATGGTGTAAGTGTGTCTATGGCAGTGGCAGGAGAAGGAGTGGATGGTCGCAGCGCAGATACAGTTTTCTGGTTTGATATTGAGAGTTGGCATGGCCTATGTCGGAGAGGTGCGGTGCTTATTACCGGCGGTGGGGTGGTAGTGAGGTAGGGGAGTAAGTGGGAAGAACTCGTGCACAGCGTAGTTATCAAACTATGCAAGAGCTCATGTGAACGATGGAAAAGAATCACATGTCACGGGGGTGATGGAGCGAGAAGGGACTTGAATGTATGCAGAGCATTATCGTGATGCTGTGAAATGTTTTGGACGGTTACTGCCTACTTCGCCGCACTCTTCATTGCTCCCGTGTGAACAGTCCCCTTGACCCATTGCATTGTACAGGTTGTTTCGTTTCCTCTTGCTCGCAATGCGTGCCTTAACGACACTGAACATGTTGGCGGCCTACATCATGTTCAATAGCTTTCATCCTACTCACAGTTCACTGTCCTTCCTTCTCACGCTGCTGTTGACCTTGCTGCTGAGACTGGATCAATCGGCGGAAATGGTGCTGCGCGAGCTGATTGCGGTATGCCTGCGGATTTTGGCCTTGCGGAAATCCATGAGTCTGGATTTGCTGCGCAGCCTTTTGGAATGCCAGCTGTTGGAACTGCTGCGCGTTCTCAGTACTCCTTGCCATTAGCCTTACCAATAGGTCTCTCACATTTTTCGTCTCCGCCTTCGCCAATTCCAGGTCTTGCCTCGACGTTACGAGTTCCTGCTTCTGCGCTGCGATGGTGTCCTGGGCGGTACGAAGCTGGCGCTTGACTTCGTCGAGTTCGTATTCCGCTGACCGCTGGGCTGCATGGGCCTCCTTACTACACGAAGTCAGTATATGTCTCACATGCACTACAGACAGTCAGTCAGAACTCACAGCATCGCGCCGAGCCACTCTAGCGGGAATGAGGGGGAGTTTGAGGCCATTGCTGTGGGTGTAGATGATGTAGTGGTGTGGTGGTTTGTCCGATAGATGGTAATGTTGGGAGAAGTAGGTAGTAAGAACGTTGAGGTTGCAAAGATAAGTATTCAGAGTGCACCATAGATTGCCAAAGAACGCTAGCTTGATTACGAATGCTCCTCTTTCCTCACTCACTACCCCCGTGACTTTACTGTCTGCCCTCATCTCTCCGTATCTCAACTTCTTTCGCACTTGCTTCCTGATGCTCTCTCAGTAGACACGCATTGCAAGCTTCTTCGTACCGCACTTCGATGATATTTGACTGCGCGCGGCTGCAGAGTCCAAAGCAGTTTGGTGACGACTTGAGGCTTGCTGGGCACCAAAAGGTTCCTTTGCGGGATGTATGAGCGCATGTGTAGACGACGAGTGTGTATTGGCACATGTTCAAGTAGTGAAAGCAGGCAGTTCGGGCAAGATATAATCGTAGTTTCGGCTTGTGATATGTTTCCGAGCGTGGCAGTATTGTATTGTTGGTCTTGACAGCAGCTTATTACCGCTAGATCATCTTCTTGGAGTACTTATATGAGGTTGTCGTTGTGATGGACAAGCTCTTCACGTCTGTTGTGCCCGGCACTCAACCAGCCATTCCAAGCTATTGCATATTGACGGCTAAGACAGCAGGTGGTTGTTTGCGTGAGCATATTTGATCAAGTTGTAGATGGTCTCAACACCAACGTGTGAAGATGCTACCCACATCAATTTGCCACTGTACCCAGAAAGCGACGACAACTACAGGCACCACCTGGCATACCTTCCATGGCTAACCTCGAAACCCCAATGTCGAGACGTGTTTGCAATAACATTTCAAGATGTAAGGACAGTGTGAGAGATGAAATGGCACCTTCCAGAAGACACATCTCGGCCTTTAGGTTTGGGTAGCCACCGCACGAGGTCACCTGCTAAGGACATCCGACGTGGTTAGCCTCGGGTTTGGTTCCTGTAATCTGCGAGCCGTTTTGACAGGCGGGGATGCTGGCCAGGCCCCCGTTGATGCCGTTTGCTATGCCTCAGGGCTGTTCCGCGCCCCGCCGTTTTCCCTTATCGATGAAACACGAGGGAGCGATAGCAGCGTGCCTGTATGGGTGGGAATGCGTCTTGGGAAACATCTCATCTTGCGGCCTGTGCTCGGCATCGGAAAAGAAAAAAGGCGCATGAAGCTGGCCAGGTGTCTGGAATCTCGCTTGTCAAATATAGAGACTGGATGGGCGTCAATCTGGTCGTGGGAAAAGACTAGCTGGCAGGCATCGTGAAATGGAGAGATGCGCGCCAATCAGGCGATATCTCTATTTCCTAGGTTGAAGCCTAGCGTGGCGGCCGATGACCAATCAACGCCCGCGTGCGCTCTGACCTGAAACAACGTGGAGCCTCCACCAAACTACCTTCACCCCACCACCCGTCGCTTGCGGGTTCACCTTCCTTCTCGAAGCGCTGCACCGGCACACATTCACCTGTCGTCGGATGGATCTAGGCTCGCTCTCTGGCAATTCGGGTGTTTCCTTCGCTACCCACTTGTGATTTCGTACGCGTCACGCGCCTTGTGGGTTCACGATGGTGGGCGATGCAAAAAGCTTTACAATATCGCAATCACTGGCTCTCATTATTCCATTTCCCCAAAATCGCATCGATCTAGATGATGCCTAGCTTCCGTCGTTGTGTTGTAGATCAACGGCACACGGTCCTCTGACACTCAACGGCCCCTCTGATGTCTGAGGATGGCTAGCGTAGCCCTGCCATGCACATGTATTGCCAACTACCGACTAACAGACGCCGATCTTCGCGCCGGAGAGTACGGGAGGCTGCAGCAAGAGCGCGCTACGCCGCGACCACGCTGCGGGACGGGAAAGCCATGGCTGGCGGCTACAGCATCGGCCAGCGTTGAAACGCACATCCTACACCCATACAGTCAGGCTCGAAAGCTTGCCTGCGGCATCGCGTGGAGTGGCGCTGTGTTTCGACACCTCGTGTGTCTCCTTCTCTATTGGCTCCTGTCGCTTCTTCCCTTCTAGGCCGGAGATTTTACAACGCTCAACAGCGTCTGTCTCACCACCTTCACCCGCCTGAATAAAGGGCCATGGCCGCGTGATATTGCAGTTTGTGTTCACATCCGGCTTGTGCGTCTTCACTTCTTCTCTTGCATTTCTTATTTTCTTGTAGCCTAGAGCGCGCAGTGCGTCGTTCACAAGGTCCGGTACTATTGTCATTGAACAATAGCATCGTTACGTGCGAGGTGAAGACGGATTGAGTCACACGACTATTGACGGAGCGACCACTCACAGTGCCCGCCAAGCCGATACTTCACTTTTCGTCACGATATAATTTCCTGTACACCAATTCCCAGCTGTCCCGCTTTCGACAACAACACTCACGTCAGGATATACGTATCGCCAGTATTGATAAGACATCCGGCACCGACTATCCCACACCTTTTCTTGCAGGGCAAGATTCACTTTCGACACTACACACACATCAAGATGCCTAGCATACGGAGAACGCTGGTTGCTGCGCTCGTCGCCTTCCCCGCGGCTATGGGCCACAGCTGGGGCGAACAACTTCGTAACATCGACGATAAAGGCAATTACGTCGGCCAATATGGATACCCGCGAGGCTTCATCGACAGACCCGATGGCTCGGGTGACCCCATGTCCTACCGCGTGAACGAAGGCAGGGCGTATATCAACAAGGACGACATGGTCTGCCCGCCCGCCCAACGCGAACAAAAGCAGGCGAACGCCGACAAGTTTCCTCGTCTCAAAGCTCCGCCGGGCGGCTACGTCGCTATACGATATCAAGAGAATGGACACGTTACAAACTCAGACACCAACCGCGAAAAGCCAGAGAAGGGTGGCACAATCTTCGTCTACGGAACCAAGGAACCAAAACCCGACGACAAGCTCGTCGACGTACTGCAGTGGACGAAAGATGGTCAGGGTGGCAACAAGCGTGGAGTCCTGTTAGCTATGAACGATTACGACGATGGGCGATGCTATCTAAACAACGGTTCGCCAAAAGCCAAGGAACGTGAACAGTTCTCGCCAGCCTATGCGGTGGGCTCACCTCAAAGCGGGCCCTCGAACACAGTCATGTACTGCGAGACCGATGTCAAGCTTCCAGATACCATGGAACTCAGCAAAGCCTACACCTTGTACTGGGTCTGGCAATGGGCATCGATGCCTGGTCGAGCTGGGTTTTCAAAGGACGGCAAGGATGAGTACTTCACTACATGCATGGACATCGACGCCGCTTCCGCCGATGTTGCCATGGTAGCTGAAGCTCCAGATGCGATGGCGAAGTTCCAGATGAAGCAGCAGGATGGTGTCACTACCGCCCACCCTGACTTCAAATCACGGACTGCTCTTTTCACAGGATCACCATTTGAGCGCGAGTATGGTCCGATCACCTCCGAGATCTCAATCCCAGGTGGAGGCTCCGGTTCTGGTGGCGACGCTCCTTTCCCCACCAACAGCACTGCTCCCACCGGCGCTACACCTCCAGTCACCACCAGCGCTGTTCCCACTCCAAGTGCTGCACCCCCAGCCCCCAGCAACTCTCCTCCGATCTCTGCCGTCATTCCTTCTGCGACCGCCCAGCTGCCATCTCCTAGCAACTCCGCGGCCTCCAGCGCTACTATGGAGATTCCGACACTTTCAGGTCGCCCCGGCGCTGCACCAACACCACCAGCCGGCGACAACGGCGTTGTCACAGTCACCGACACTGTCATGGTCACTGTCACAGCGCCTGCTCCAACAGCGCCTGTTTCTACTCCCCCCGCTCCCCCGGCAGCCGCTCCCCCAGCTATCACTCCTCGCGCAGTGCACAGCATCTACCACAGGAATGGTGCTAAGTTTAGGGGTCTATAGACGGTGAAAAGACGCGTCTGCTTTGATTCTGTTACTGCATTTTCTTTTGTTACATACACACTGCGCTCTCCAGTGGCAGGCCACAGGTACTGATGACGGACACACATGATGATGACTGCATGGAAACGATTGCATGATCATGAAGATTGGGAGGTTCTTTTTCTTTTTGCATTCAGCGATACCCCTTGCATACATGTTGGCGTTTTGGGTAGCATTTTATGACCTTTACCCAGGTGGGTTGGTCAGGCGTTCATCAATAAAAGCATATCACAACATTTCATTTCCTCACGTCCTGTCTTCTCACCGATCGTGACCGCCTCGCTTTACATTTTCACTGCTACGAGCTTGTGTAACTGCCCCACGTGTAGCCACGTGTTCTGACTTCAACGTTCTAAGTCAGGCGCCTTTAACGTGACGTCCACAACCTCGGCCGAGATATTGAGTACGTTCCATGAACATTTTCTACCCAGATGCCGAGCCTCTCGGATCGCTTCCAGTGTCGATGCGCGTATGCTCGGAGCATTATCCGCATCGACGCTTGCGAACGAATACGGTTATAAGATGACGCAACACCGTTCGCTGTGGAAGTTGGCTCACAGACCATTCCATTTGGGGTGCGGCCCGGATACGACCGTTACCATCGTCAAGATTCGTTGGCTCATACAGCAAACTTACTCGTCATCTGTACCACACCCCAAGCCATCAGGTCTAGACCAGCGGGACCAAAAAGACGATGAACTTCCAGACCATCCGCACCCGTCAATCGCGCCCGTCCTCCAGAACCGGGGAGCTGGGTCAATTTGCGTAAGGCTGAGCAAGTTTCTTCGGGTTACTTCACACATGGCTTCATTCCGATTTGTCCCCAACAGTCCGGCAGATTGTCCTCTCACATTGTACCATTCGGAGCCTCTGCCATGTGGCTTTACAAGAGACGTTTGCGCTAGTTTTCATACCTCAAAGCAGAGATGCGCATTCGTTACGAACAGTATCTTGCAGTTGATGAAGCCCCGGAACCACACATCGCTGAGTACGTATACTCTTCACCGGTGGAAGGCAGCAGGAGGATCTTACGAAACATCTACGCGTTGTTCGTTCATACAGTATAGGTAAGGCTTTGCCCCAAACTCACTGCCCGAGTTCCCCGCGGTTGATAGTTGGTTCACATGAGATTCGACATGGGTGTGTTGGACGATCGCAACACTGGAGGATGGGTATAAGAGGGGAGATGAGATGGGACTATAGCAGTTTTGTCGCGAGACACTGAACAGAGTTCTTTGCAATACACCGACACTCCTGATCCAAACCAAACTCATCCCACCCAAACCACAAGAAGACACATCACGCTCTGTTCCCGTACATATCTCAACACCATGTGCCGCGACATCTACCGCCACTACGAACGCTGTGCTCACCACGAATACATCCAATCCCCACCGTGCCAACACTTTCGCACCGGTCTGAACCAGATCAACGACCCACGCTACTTCAATCAACCCGGCATCCCTTATCGCCAATCTCGAAGGTGTCGCGAGCAGAACCAGTTTGACTTCCGTCGCAACGCTTATTGCACGCCATGTATGATGACTAGGCAAGGTTGGAACTTTCGGGGGTATAACAGTGGGTTTGGAGGATGGCCCAGGTATAGACCGGAGGGGTTTTGAGGGATAGTGATACCTCATACAAGAGAAGACTGAACAGGCCTGCGGACTACATCCAGACAAGAACGTGCAAAGTGGGTAACCCAGCGTCAACGTAGGCTCCAGGGTGTTCATTTTCCCTAGGTTGACGTGACAGTGAGGTCGCAGAGGAGGAAAGGTGGGAAGAAGGTTGGTGTGAGAGGGTACTTAGTCATTGGAAAGATGCTCAAAGACTAGAGATTTACGAACTAGCTCGGCATTAGTACACGAGTGTCGGACAGTGACATTAAGACTGCTTTTTCTCTTTTATATACACTCTGTCGCTGTATACACATCTTACTTTTCGATCGCAACTGCTCAGGCCCAGACTGTACGGCCTTGATCTTGCAGTCCACCACAAAGCGCATATCCCGATGGCCATGCCTTCCTCTTTCCTTCCTTCCTTCCATCCACCCAACATCTATCTCACCTTCTTAGTTACCTCTTCAACCGGCATCGTCCCCTTATCTGACTGCAGCATTGCTAGCGTAAACAATCCGGTCAACGTCAACCACACATTCCCCCACACCCCAATGCTCATGCTCGTATTATAATGGCTCGGCATCTTGTAATGCTGGTACGCGCCAATGCCCGTCGTGATATGATGGAACACCGTCGCAGCTACCACAGCCTTCGCATACGGGATCGTGGTGAGCTTTGTTGCAGGCGCGGAGTTGAACGGTATGGCGTTGGTGAAGGAGATGAGGATCAGCGCGAGGGTGACGAGACACCAGCCGTCGTTACGAACGTTGTAGGCTTCGAGGTCATTGGGAGCGAGGTTTAGTTGCGAGGGAGGCCGGAACCCTGTTGGTATTAGTTTTGAAACAGACATTGAACATCAGGGGATTGAGGCTTTGAAGAGCGGGGTAGGAAGGTTGGAAAGTCAATGTAACGTACAGCCGATGACCATTATCGGGTCGTACACGCGACACAAGCCACGCAGGCCGTACCAGAACGCTGTGCCATAGGCATACGCATGGAATACCTGTACACATTAGCTTTCACTCTTCCAACCCCTCCAATTTCTCACGAACTACGTACAGCTGAGTTTACGGAAGGCATAATGTCGCTACCAGTCAATTGCACAACAACAAAGCAACGATTGCGCAATAAGATGAGAGGTCGATGAACGCGCGACCGCACCTTAAATGATGTTTGTTGACGTTCCTGGCAAGCTTCCGTACCTGCGACGTCATTATGAGAGCTCCAACAGCTCCATTGGTGTTGAGGGGCTGCAAGCCACGCCGTTAGCCTCCCCGTGGAACCGGAACATCGATCCGCGTAGCGCACCCGCAGATGGATCGAAGATGAGATCGGCCGCGATACGATTGCTATGACGCTAAAAGCAGGGGTTAATCCGGCAGATGCATGTTCGTGGAGATGGTTTGGGAATGATGGTCGCGCACAATACGATCGTGAAGGGCAGCTTCGTGTTGGAAAAAGCAAGTCTATTGGGGTATCCACAATCTATCTCTTGCATCACCATGCTATCCTTCCTGCAACACTCCTTCCCATCTTAGTCTTGCCAACGCCAATCGTTCCTTCACCTCCCAACCCTTGCATCCTCAAACTCGCATCGACAACCTCAAGCGCATACGCACTCTGAATAGGACCCAAGTCCAGAATGGTACCATTGTGCACCGCATTCGCAGCTGGATTGACAATCTTCTCCACATCCTCCTTAACCTGCGGCAGCAACACCGCGGTCGCACCCAACCACCGCGCCAACAACCCCTTGAAAGAAACCTGATCGGTATCACACGGCTCTTCCGCATCCTTGGCCTCGCACTTGCTCTCGAATAGCGCGCCGGTATCCTGGTTAACGAAATTGCGCTTTGCGGAAGCGACAAAACCCTTGGTTCTGTCCACCCACTTCTCGTCTTTGGTATGCACTGCCATGACAGCAGCGCCGTACATGTAAACCCCGACATTGTAACTCCACATGTTGTGGTTTAGATCTGAACATCCGTTGTCTTCACTCGTGCCGTCGTAGACATTGAAGTCCTGGTCTACAAGTCCGACCTTTGTACTCCAGGCGTACGTTTTCTCCGCCCAGGATAGGATTTCAGCATCTTCCGTGAGGTGTGCGATGCGGGCGGCAAGTTGGAAGAAGAGTCCGTTTGTAATGGCGTTCTTGTAGTGCCATCCGTTCTGGCCGTCCTCGCCGAAATCTACTTTCCAACGCAGACCGCCGCCGCATGTGTTGTTGCCGTCGATCCAACGCTGCTTTTGCTGGTTAAAGACGTTCGTCGCCAAATCCACCCAAGCTACGGGTCCTTGCTGAGGGAGCTTCATCTCGGCGGCTGTTATCGCAGCAAGACCCCACCACGCTTGATCATCGTTGCCAGTCGCGTCGACGGTCATGAAGTCGTTTGCGGGGGTCGCTTGACTCAGGATAGTGGTCTTGAGAAGATCTTCATACTGAAGGTCGCCGGTCGTGGAGCCGTAGGTTAGGAGGGCTTCGACTGCGGTGCCGGATTGCCACCACCAGTATGGTTGGGGGAGGAGTGCTCGACCAGGATCTGGGAATGAAACTTTGAGCGAGGCGGCGAGGGTGCTTGATGAAGATAGTAGGGCGGCTGGCGCTGGAGGCGATGGCGGTGGGGCTTGGATGGCGGCGATTTGCACAACGAGTGAAACGGCTTTGCTGAGGGTGCTCGGTATCATTTTAAAGGATTGAATCGGTAGAATGGTATCGTAGAATGGAACGTGCTGATCAAAGCAAAAAAAGAATGTAATTTGTGTAAAGAACGTACTGGTTCACTGAACCATATAAAAAACAACCAAAGAGTGTCTGCGCAAAAAAAGATGCGACGAACAAAGAATGACGGAAAAGGTGTCGAAGGGAGGAAGCAGGACGAAGGACGAGGGCTGACGCGTAAAGATAATGGGATACCACTCAACCTACCCACAATACACAACTCAGCCTCAATCCAGCGCATAAAATGCCATTAGTTTCATCCATCCAGCATACTCGGCACCCACGCCGTGCCCCGACCCAAAATTAGCAGGTGTCACACATGCGCCTTGGCCTATCCACCCGCACGTGTAAATGAACAAATGCCATGCATGTGCGTTGTCGATAAGAAGAGTTCTCTGGGCTTTCTGCAAAAATCTCCTGATCGACAGCTAGGAAGGGATGGTCTAGAACGGATTCGTTGTTATCTGAAACGCGACGCGACGACGTTGCGCGATGTGATTCGCCGGGTATTGAGAACACTGGAGAGGCCGAGAGGACGCAGCAAGTTGGGCGGTAGGGGTCGGAAAGATCGGATCTGCTGCGATAGAGCCTGAATTGGCGTGGTGAATGGGATCTGCTGTGGGTTGTGATGATGTGCCGAGGTGGTGAATGTGGATGAGCGTGTCCAGTTGTGATGGGGTTTGGTGTTGAAGATCTGGACTGTTGATCTCGATGCATGAATCGCGTAGGACGACTGCGGCTCAGATCTAAGGACGCTGGACGGACGCGCCTTGACATTGGATTTCGTGCGATGCCATCGAAGCTGTCTACAGTCAACACGAGCATTCACCTCAGCGTATCCCATCATACACACCCCATCCGCCTTATATCCCACTCCTACAGTCCACTTCCACCCCGCCGTCTACATCTTCGACATTACGACTTTATTCTTGACGAAACTGCCCCACCCCTCCGCAAACACTCCACCCGCGCCATCCTCCACCCAGCTCACAGCTTCAACATACCTCCCTTTCTCCCTCATGATCTTCGCCCTGACCTTGACCACAGACGGGGTCACCAGGTTCTTCTTATACTTGACCCGCAACTCACTCGTCGCATTCGGGATGCCATAGTTCTTGACTATAAGGCAGCCCATGCAATGATCCAGCAGCGACGCCGTAATGCCGCCATGAAGACTCGCATAGTTCCCATCGGCATCGTGAGCTAGCGATACCAGCACGATGTTTTCCGTTCCTTCCGGATCGGAGAGATCGTATTGTATGTCCTCCTTCGCTGCTTGTCTAGCCGCCTCTTTCGGGTTGTCGCGCGGCACAATCTCCTCCCACGTTGTGTCCGTATGTGTGACTACACTGTCGGGGTCTATAACCTCCCGCCGCTTTCCATGACCGGGTTTCCACAAGTCGAGAAACGCGCGGATCGCGTCGGACGTGAAGAGGCCGCGCGTGAAGAGCAGGTTCCAGCCGTCGCGGGCCTCAAACAGGCGGCGATCGTGGATGGACGTTATCGAGGGGTCGGCGAAGAGGGCTTTGCACCATTCGTGAGCGGTGAAGTCTTCCAGGTGTTCGGTTCTTCTTCGGGTGGTCATCGTGAGACGGAGGAGGTGCAGGTATGGTGTCGGTGCGGAGCGGACGGTGAAGGATGATTTATATAGGGTCGTCGTGGAGGTGGGAACCTATGCGATAAGGCTGGCGGTATAATCGAAGGCATGATTGCGGTCGGATGGTCGGATTTCGCTGCGCGTCGCGTTACTTGCAAAGCATGGAGCTCAGGTTCCGAGGTTACTGGTGATAAAGTTTAGCGCTGACGTATCTAAGATTGACCGTAAGAAGGTTAGTATCACCGATCTGCATACATACGACCTGGACATCAATTTAATCACGCAGACAAGGTAAGGCAAAGATGTTTTTCAACGTATTTGTATTAATCCGTCGCGACGTTATTGAGTAATCAAGAACTACAGTCTAAACGTCGTGACTTCATGTGCTACTTCAACTATCTCCATATGAACTCCATTCCGAATCTTATCCTACCAAAAGGCAGAACAGGATTGGCATCCACACTAGTCGTGGGACGGTCAAACATGTGCTTACTCTCCAATGATTCTTGCTGCGACGATGCGCTGCACAGTCATGCTACTCAAGAGCCCTGATGGAACGAGGCCAACGAGCGCGCGTTCTCCGCGCGGAGTGCCGCCAAAATCTTGTCGGTCTCAGCTTGCGCCGCCTTCAGCTCATCCATTTCACCCCGAAGCTTGGCGTACTCCTCAACGGAAACCTTGTCCTCGGGGTCGTCCAGCAGCTCCTTCTGCTTGTGGCTGCGAGTTGAAGAAGTAGAGCCAGGAGAAAGCAGATCATCGGGTGCATCGGAGAGCTCAGAGCTGTCGGAGTCAAGCTCGTCCATGCCCTTGGTGCCGAAGTGGTAGTTGACGAAACCGGTGTCCTTAGTCTTCTTCATTTTGCCCTTCCCTTTATCCTTGAAGGAGCCGTCACCGCCGTCGTTAGAGACGTTCTCGCCAATAGCACCCTCGGTGAACACGTCCCTCCTGAAAGCATCCTTGTTGGATGCGGTTTGGTAGACGTGACCACGCATTGGGGCATGATTGGCGACAGCATCACCAGCTTGAGTGCCGCTCTTGCCAGCATCTTGTCCGGGGACAGCGACAACTGGCTTCATAGGAGATATGCCTGAGAAGGAGACGTCCATGTTGGCACCAGGGTGCTGCTCGTCAGAGCCTTTGTCGAGAATGTGCTTGGGTGTGGTAGGTTTAACAGCGTTCATCTTCATCTTGCCGGGAGACATCTCGCCTTCAGAGTCAGTGACCATGGCTGGGTGCTCATGCCGAATGACATTCACACCCGGTTGACTACGCTTCTGGCGCTTCTGAGCCGACTGTCGCGGTTGTAACATCATCTGAGAACCCGGAGTTGCTCCAGGACCGTCAGTGTTATCGTGGTCACCGGACGCGATCATCTCAGCCGCAGTACGCCTACCCCGAATCGGACGATTCTGATGGTGCTGGTCGTTGTCACGGCCGACCTTGATCCACTGGCCGCGGTGGGCGTTCGAGACGCAGTTGACGATGGTGCTACTGTACAGCTTGTGGGGAGCGCCAATCGTAGTCCAGGTCTTCTCGTTTTTCATCAGTGTAACGCCGGTCTGTTTGGAGGTCTTCAGCACCTCACAGATCCACTCTATACGCTGTCCGAAGGTCCAGTCCTTGGTATGGCTGATGTTGTCGATGATGGTCTTATCGTAGATGCGAACTTTGAAGCCGTTCAGGTGAATGTCCTTGGCCATGCCGACGATGTCCCAGGAGCACGCTTCAATAGCCCAGTCCTGGTAATAGACACCTTCACCCGGAGTTAGCCGCTTGCGGTAAGCGTTACCCTGGGTGTCCTTGGCGCGGGTCATATCCTTGAAAGCTTGCACCAACATCTTGACGAATTTGCGATACTCTGCGGCGGTCTCCGGGATGGAGGGGTCGGCCTCTGGAGAATACCACTGAGGCTCGTCCATGGGCGCCCTAGCTTCTTCCAGGGTCTTGAAGCGGAAGCCGTCGACCTCTGGATAGTCATCGTCCTTGTCCAGAAGCTGGGAAATCTTGGTCTTAAGGCGAGACGGATCCTTGAGACCGCCGGGGACCTTTTCCAGGCGGGTGTCCGCAAGGCGGGGAATGGGAGGACCGAAGGGAACGGGAGCACGAGCACCAACGGGAGTTGAGGGAGATGCAGTCTGGCTCTTGATCACCATTAGGGTGTTGTTGGCTATGCCCTTGGGGGTTTCCTTATCGGGGTCGTGGTCGGTCATGTTGTTGGTTTCCTGGGGCTGGTAGTGGGGGTTTTCGGTTTCAACGGTTACTGCTTGCAACTAAGACACCTGTTAGTGAACTCCAGCATCTATTTTCCAGCACCGGTGGAACCTACTCGAAGAATTGATGAGATCTATGCGGCGTGGGGGTGAACTGACTGCGGGAGTCTCCCGATCTTTATGTTCGCAAGGCTTGACCACCGGGCTAGTGAAAAATCATGCGCGGATTGCGCGCGGATTGAAGTGGATCTGGTGTACTACTTACGCAGGCGACGACGGAGTGAAGTAGGAAATTGAAGGTCGCCTGTGACAACCGCGGACGATTTGTAAGCCAAGAGGATGTCAGGTGCGAGAGCCCGGCATTGGCATTGCGTTCTGTGAAAGAAGAGGAAGGTTTGTTGTGGTGATCGGTGCCTGTTGCTGGGGGGGCTGCGTGCGTATCGACAGCACAGGCGTGAGTAACGTGCGTCCAAGGGTCTTGGCATCCTCGCATTCACCTAGGACCTGAGCGTTTGCTACACCCACGACCCATTGCCCCGATCCACAAGACCTCGTAGCACTTGCTGCATGTCGATAGCGTGTAGTGTCGTGATGTCCGTCTTGCCTGGGATACTGCGCGAGGTCGGCGTCGTGCGATATGGCCTTGTCGCGTGCGATGTTGCCTGTGACCTATGTTAACACACTGACTACCTTACATAGAATGACTTCTTGTTGAACTGAAAGACATGAGAGCTAATGGCGTACCATAGGGAACTTATGAAGACCGGCGACAATACGGATGCGCGAGGCCGTCGCAGGCCCGTCAGCATATACGATTGCAGCTGGCAGCGACAGAGCGCGCGACCGACTACATACCGTTCAGGTTCCGACAAAGCAACGTCTTGCCAGACCTGCGCTTTGCAACCTCTCCGGATGTGCGATAAGGCGTTGTATGACCCGCGTATGCATGAGCAAGTCCGTCTTGCCAGGCCTACACGCGTTCTGTCCGGCTTTTTGATGGGGCGCTGTATGTCCTGCAAGTGCATGTGCAAGTCCATATCATAAAGACGCGAACGGATCTTCGTCGACCAAGACTGGCAAGCAGCAATACACTTCATGCGACACAGTACCATGAGATAATATTGTCCCTTCTCTTTCAGGTATCACCGGGGTTTTTCCAAGCAAGAGCGGTCCAGACGGGATGCGTCATGTGACCTCCTTGCCCGGCGGGAAGGTGGTCACTTTTGATCGGGATCGAGACCAGAAAAAATGGTGGAAGAGGGTACTCTCATTACACTTGAGTGCAGTATTCTCGCGTTGGAAGTCGCTCTTGCTTAGGAATTGAACCTTCGGTGAGGTGTCATCTAGGTTGCGCTAGTTGAGTGGCTCGACAGCAGCGGTAGCCGCACGACCACGGCGTGGTATGCCATCGCGGTGTGTGGAGAAGAGTTGGATGCTAGTGGCTGTGAGTATGGGCGCGAAAGGTTTCGAAGTGCAATGAGTTTGCATAGACTGGCTGGTGCGCGGCAAGGAGGGAATGTTGCCTTGGCATGTTTGTCTCGTGGGAGTCAGACGCGTCGAAACGGCAGTGGCTGTATCGCGCCGTCGGTTGAGCTTATGTTGCCGATGATCTTAACCGGCGAAGCGTTGGAAAGATCGCGTTCGGTGCAGCATTGTGAGGGTCGCGGTGATGGTGGTCGGTGTGGGCGTGGCCCGTCGGCTTTTATGGCAGCACAGCCATCGAAGCCAGCGTCGAGAAAGGATTGGACCGTTGTCACATGAGGATACAAACAATTGCCACTCCAATGGGTGAAAGTACCAATAAAGAGAAGGTCCCGGCGGTGGCGAGATGGACGATGCTGTCGATGTTTGGTGGAAGCGGATGAAGTTGGAAGTTGCGGAGAAGGAAGGCAGGAACGAGGGGCAGACTCGCCGTCGCTAGCGCGCATTGATCCCACCTCAAAATCAACGACAAACCTTCATGGACTTCGCCGGGTGCACGGCCGCTTCTTGCTTCTTGCGAGGACTGGTGCTGCACACTTCTGTAAGCTTTCATCGAGTGCAGGCATGTCCAGGGAATGCTCCTCGGACTGTCGCGATGCGCCACTCTCCGCGGCGAACGCGCGGCTGCAGCGACTGCAGGTTGATGGGCTCGCTCCGCGTCGCCATCACATTCAATCGCTCGACTTCTCCTTTTCAGATCTCATAACTGAAGACGCTGCCTTCGGCATGATTCCGAAGGAAGTTCTTGTCGCGAGATCAGCGAAGACGTGCCGTCACGGACACAATACCGTCCGAGTCGTAAGCTACCGAGCGGCTGATGGATGGACTTGCTCTCTTTGTCTTGAGCTCTCTGATCCGACTGAAAGTCCAATAGAAATCGGGTTTCTTGGTTGCTCCATTTGGCATGCCTTGGTCGAGGCAGCACGACACAGCAAAAGTCTACCTGGAGGTTAGTTGAGTCGGTATTGTCGTCTCCCGCTTACTATTCCAGGCGAGCGAGCATACTCGGTTGACCGGCGTAGTTGTCAAGGTTGAGTTTGGAAGAGTCTTTGCGTTTGCCGGAATAGTTTGTCGAGTGCAACATCTGGGAGTGCTTTGTCGGTTGAGACAAACACCTGGGCGGTAGTGTTAAGTAGTGACGTGGAATCCTCGAACACTTATGGGTAGGCTATCTTTCCCGGTCCCGCAAGCAATCTCTCTTTCCTTGCTCTTTCACATCCCCTTGAGGACTGTCTTTCAACCCCATTCACCAAGTTCGTACCATTTGGAATGGTACGGCGGAAAGGATGCAGCAGGACAAGCCTAGAAAGAGATATATACAGTCGACGGTAGGAGACTTACACTTACATTTTGCTCTGTTAGACGGCCTCGAGGGGCTCTGGCTTACTGATACTTGGTTTAGTGTAGTTTATATACTTGGCTGGCAAGAAACAGCGCGATGCGTCGAAAGTTGATACGTGGTATCGTTACTGGTTTTGCCGCCTGCATGAACACTTCGGTCGCCCTCACGCTTTGGGCTTGGCGCTACAGTGATTTCCTCCTTAATCGCCCCCCCCCCCCTCCCCCCGCCCGCCTTGGAGCGACCGCCGTGTGAACACGTGATTCACCCTTCGACCCACTCTATCCCAGTTGGGAGCCCTCTGCTCCGCGCCACAAACAAACTCCTAGCGCGTGGTACCTCCGTGAGAGTATTTCTGGGGCTTCATTTCGAACTCTCAAGGAAAAATTACCCCCCTCAACCACTTCGATTCACAACTGCAACCCACAAGATTCATTGCATACGACGACGACATCTCTACAATGAATTCCAACAATCCCTCCACTCCTGAGATCGACGACTCAATCACCGACGAACTCGACTACGATTTTTTTGCGAGGCTTATGCAGCAGAACACTGTCCCATCGAGCTCTTCTATCGCGCCGGTAGCTTCAACACATCCTGGCTCCATCGAACACGACGGCTTCAGGCAGAACGATCCCAGCGAGTTTTATCACGGCAACAACTGGCCAATCTACCCTTCTGAGAGCTCCGTAGACAACAGCAACTGGTCTAACTTCCAAGACAACATGTACACTTCTAGCGACAGCGTACCAGGACAGTCGGCCGCTGACTGGAACTTGCAAGGAGGTTACAGTCACCTAGAGGCTGGCCAACAGTATCAGCCAGAGAATAACGTAGCCTTCGGTAAGTCGATATGATATACACTCTGTCTCGCGCGCTCACACTGACTTCTTCTAGGCTCGCCCAGCAGCTTGGGAAACGACTTTACGTATCCCCCGACTGCTCCTAACCCAGTGCAAAACACTGGACGTCCAGTCTTAGCGCATGATCGTACACCAACGCCCACCTCGATCAGTGGGTCGGCGAATGCGCCATTCGGGAATCAGATCTCAACACCGACCCCTGCGTCATCGAGCGGCCGTCCGCTTTTCATACGTCGGGACCCAGCGCTGGGCCATAGGCAAGTGCAAGACCTTGGAATCCCTCGGAACTATTCATCAGCGCCTGTTCATACATCACATACAAGCCGCTCATCCAGGATGCAAGGACCGCCGCCAGGCTATGCGCAGCCTCTGAGCACTGCATCATCGCCCTCTATCACGCCACCACCTCATCGTGGACCAGACTCTCGTCACGCACTCGCACATCTCGGAGGCCCTGTGCCAGAGCCGGGTCACGCGCCATTCACGCTCTACCCGTCAACAGCAGGCCACCCGTCATCAACGTTTCGTGGACCAATGACTCCACGCGGAGAAGTCGCCCGCCCGACCTCACGGTCGCAATATGTATCATGGTCCCCACAAGCACCAGGACCGCAACGTGCACCAGACTGGCAGTACGGAGAGCTGCGACATCCACCAGGCCCACAACGATTACCAGGGCCGCAACATGTACCTGAATCACGCAGTAGATCAGCGCCATCACTCACATCCGCGACTCCTGATACATCGGCGGCGCACCACCCGCCTGTCACCAACCATCGCGCACCCGTCACGCACCCCACAGTAGCGACCGGTGACGCATCTGTTCCCCAGCAGTCCGAGAACAAGGACGCTGGAACTGGCGAGCAAGCTGCTGACGGCGCTGACGGCGCGGGCGCTGCTAAACCTAGTACACCCAAGCATATCCTTGACAAAGAGAAGCAAGCCCGGGCCGCGATCAGGAAGTTGAAGGAAAAATTCAGTATCGATGGGCAGATGGGCGAGTCTATCACCATGGTTCGTACCAACACTGGAGTTGAGTTCAGTGGTACGATGTGGAAGGCGCCTGCCAACGATACGAGCATTCCTACAACAGAAGTGGAGATCAAGGCATGCGTCGATGCTCTTGACACGGCAATGCACAACGTCGTAAACATCCGGGAGAAGGCCGATGTCAAGTCATCGAACAATCGGTGGAACTCTAAGTCCAAGTACTATTTCCCGGAAGAATACAATGCAGCTGCTGGCCTGCTTGTGGTAAGTTTAAACCGAAGTGTATGCCTCTGCCATCACTAACGTAACATAGAAAGAGCTTA